TCATTTTAAAAAGTCAAGAAACTGTCTTTAAAAAATATCAACTTTATCTGCAATAAGACCTTCCCAAAATTCCTCAAAGTCTTCATATAAGGGGAGAAAATTTTAAGGTGCTTATATTTTATACCTGAGTAAGAAAAGAAAAAGTATTTCTTTCTTTCAAACAATAAATGTATTATTTCTTCTTTCTTTCAAACAATAAATGTATTATTTATTTCAAACAATAAATGTATTTTTTCCTCAGGCAGGCAGATTGCCTGAGGTCAGGAGTTCGAGACCAGCCTAGCCACCATGGCAAAACCCTGTCTCTACTAAAAATATGAAAATTAGCCAGGCGTGGTGGCAGATGCCTGTAATCCCTACTCGGGTGGCTGTGGCAGGAGATACTTGAATCCAGGAGCTGGAGGTTGCAGTGAGCCAAGATCACACCATTGTACTCCAGCCTGGGCGACAGAGTGACTCCGTCTCAAACGATAAATAAATAAAATAAAATAAAATTTAGCATTAAACTCAAAAATCAAAATAACAGGATATAGGGCCAGGCTTGGTGGCTCACGAACCTGTAATCCCAGCACTTTGAGAGGCCAAGGTGGTGGAATCACTTGGCGTTAGGAGTTCAAGACAAGCCTGGACAACATGGTGAAACCCCATCTCTACTAAAAATACAAAAATTAGTTGGGTGTGGTGATATGTGCCTGTAGTCCCAGCTACTCGGGACTGCGGCAGGAAAATCACTTGAACATGGGAAGTGATAGTTGCAGTGAGCTGAGATTGCACCATTGTACTCCAGTCTGGGCATCGCAGTGAGACTCCATCTCAAAAACAAACAAACTAAAACCAGAATATAAAACAAAGATATTCACTGCCACAAGTTTACCCGGCTAAAAAAAAAGAACTGAAGTTTTCAGAAATCTATGCAACTCACAAATTATCTACCACATTTTTTGTGGAAATGTATTCATTTTCTACAGCTGAAATTGAATAGAAATTTTCTTTATTATTTTCCTTGGTAGCTAACATTCTAAAAGCTAGATAGAATTCTGTTTGAAATCACTGAGTCATAAAAAACACACCAGAGGCCGGGTACAGTGGCTCAGGCCTATAATCCCAGCACTTTGGGAGGCCGAGGCGGACGGATCACGAGGTCAAGAGATCGGGACCATCCTGGCCAACATGGTGAAACCCCATCTCTACTAAAAATACAAAAATTAGCTGGGCGTGGTGGCATGTGCCTGTAGTCCCAGCTACTCGGGAGGCTGAGGCAGGAGAATTGCTTGAAACCAGGAGGCAGAGGTTGCAGTAAGCTGAGATCGCGCCACTGGACTCCAGCCTGGTGCCTGGCGATGGAGCTAGGCTGTCTCAAAAAAAAAAAAAAAAAAAAAAAAAAACACCAGAGGAAATTTCTAAATTCACTCTGAGAAAGAAAAAGGTAAATGAAAATTTTCAACAAATAAATATATTATTAGATATTAATTTTTTGTGACATATATTTTATGCCCTTTGGAAATATTTTCTTGCCTTTCAAGCTCTACTAATAAAATGCAATATACAGTTAAAAAACTGAGGTCTGCTGGGCACAGTGGCTCACACCTGTAATCTCAGCACTTTGGAAGGCTCACGCAGGTGAGTCACTTAAGGTCAGAATTTTGAGACCGGCCTGGCTAACATGGCAAAACCCTGTCTCTACTAAAAATACAAAAACTAGCTGGGTATGGTGGTTCACACCTGTAGTCCCAGCTACTTGGGAGGCTGAGGCATGAGAAACACATAAACTCAGGATTTGGAGGTTGCAATGAGTCGAGATGCCACCACTGCACTCCAGCCTGGTGGCAGAGATTAACTGTCAAAAAAAAAACAAAAAAAACTTTAGGTAAAAATAAGTGAACAAATCTTTTCAAGGTACAGATACGTCTTACTCATGTGTCAAAAAGTCAAGCCATTCAATTACTTGACAGATTGTCCCACCCCGCCCTGCTCACTTGAGTGCTCAATAACCTCCTCTGAAGAGGCTCTGAATTATGCCGCAGTGAATGCCTCAGGCACGTTTTACTCTGCAAGTTCTTAAACCATCTCACTGGGGTCATTTTTTTTGTTTGCTTGTTTTTTTCTTTTTCTTTTGGTCTTTTGGAGTCCTAGGGGTTGTTTGTTTTTTGTTTTTTATCCTAGAAATTTTTTACTACTTTTCTGCCCCCCTAAGAAAATCCAGCAGGCAAAAATTATTTGTTTTCTCCTCAATGCTAGTATCTGATTGGCTGACCAGCAATGTGTCTCCAAGAAATGAAAGCTGGGTTGGGTGAAGACAATATGAATGTCTCAAGGAATTAGCTTAAACAAACAAACAAAAAAAAAGTGCACCAGGAATTCCCTCTTATCCTCTTAACATCCACCTGAACACTTGAGAAGCTACACTCAATACCTCAGGTTTTCCTATGACAGAAAATGATACAGAAGCTGATATTCACTAGACACTGTTGCAGACATAGCCACCGGCCATGGTGGGTATTTTGGTTTATCCCCATACAGTGCTGAAACCCAGGTCCAAGAAAAAACTAAAAGGTGACTGAAGACACATCACCCTATAAAATTTCCAAAAGGAAAACTTTACCCAAAAACATTCTGAAAAAATATCTGTGTCTAGGGAAAAGAGACGACAAAAAAACACACAGAGATATTTTATAGTATAGTGTCAGGAAATTATTCTTTGCTTTCTTCTCATAGGAAATGTTTATCAAAAAAAAAAAAAAAAGCCGCCGGGCGCGGTGGCTCAAGCCTGTAATCCCAGCACTTTGGGAGGCCGAGGCGGGTGGATCACGAGGTCAAGAGATCGAGACCATCCTGGTCAACATGGTGAAACCCCGTCTCTACTAAAAATACAAAAAATTAGCTGGGCATGGTGGTATGTGTCTGTAATCCCAGCTACTCAGGAGGCTGAGGCAGGAGAATTGCCTGAACCCAGGAGGTGGAGGTTGCAGTGAGCCGAGATCGCGCCATTGCACTCCAACCTGGGTAACATGAGTGAAACTCCGTCTCAAAAAAAAAAAAAAAAAGCCAAAATTTTTAAATGTGCCATCAAATGCTTTGTCAAAAACTGATTAATTGGCCAGGCTCAGTGGCTCATGTCTGTAATCCCAGCTCTTTGGGAGGTCAAGGCAGACAGATAGCTTGAAGCCAGGAGTTTGAGACCAGCCTGGCCAACATAGTGAAACCTGTCTCTACTAAAAATACAAAAATTAGCCAGGCATGACAGTGGGCACCTGTAATTCCATCTACCTGGGAGACTAAGACAGGAGAATAGTTTGAGTCCAGGGGTCTGAAGTTGTAGTGAGCCTAGATTGCGCCACTACACTCCAGCCTGGAGAGCAAGTCTCCATCTCAAGAATTTTTTTAAAAAAAAAAAAAGGTAAATTAATATAGGTATCAAAATGTACACTAAAAAAATAGTTGATAAAGTGAATTAGAAAAGGGAAATTGGACTGGGTGTGATGGCTCCCACCTGTAATCCTAGCACTTTGGGAGCCCGAGGTAGGCGGATCACGAGATCAGGAGTTCGAAACTAGCATGGCCAACACAGCGAAACCCCAACTCTACTAAAAATACAAAAATTAGCTAGGCGTGGTGGCGGGTGCCTGTAATCCCAGCTACTTGGGAGACTGAGGCAGGAGAATTGCTTGAACCCGGGAGGCAGAGATTGCAGTGAGCTGAGATCCCACCATTACACTCGTGTGGGCAACAAGAGCAAAACTCCATCTCAAAAAGAAAAAGAAAATTAAAACGGGGAATTGCCATTTGGAAATGTCAGAAAAAAAATGGAAATTTAGAATTTTACAGCAAGCCAGAGTTAGGCTGGAGGAATAGGAGACAAGGGGGGACTTGAGGCCCTCCTTGAAGCACATGTGAAAAACTGAGGGAAAAATCAGTCCCCTGTGGAGTGTGAAAATAATTATGTGGCAGGCAATTAGACTAAGGTGGCTCTAGTTCCCAGATTTCAATTTCTAAAAAAAACTAAACTCAAGAGCATTTTTTGGTAAATTACTACATTGCCAGAACAAAATTCAGACTTAAACAACTCTAAACTGTCAACTAAGCTCTGATTACACAACCAGGATATTTCCACCTAGACTGTAAAAATCAAGAAACTAGGCCAGGCATGGTGGCTCATTCCTGTAATCCCAGCACTTTGGGAGGCCGAGGTGGGTAGATCACCTAAGGTAAGAAGTTCGAGACCAGCCTGGCCAACATGGTGAAACCCCATCTCTACTAAAAATAAAAAAATATTGGCTGGGTGTGGTGACAGCTGCCTGTAGTTCCAGCTACTAGAAAGGCTCAGGCACGAGAATCGCTTGAACCCGGGAAGCAGAGGATGCAATAAGCCGATATCACACCACTGCACTCCAGCCTAAGCAACAGAGTGAGACTGTCTGGGGTGTGTGTGGAGGGGAAGGGGACTACATAACTATACCTTGCCAATAATTGAATTTCGTTTTCTTTATCCTGAACCTTATAAAAATCTTTCCATCAAGTCCCTTCCATGGACCACAAATTACAAACCACAGCTGGGTGCTCTAAAATTTTTTAATCACTCTTTGATTTAATTATTTAATATTTCCACGTTGACACCTGTAAATTTTTAATAGGAAAAAAGAAAGCCTGGGGACTCCATGCACCAAAGCTCTTCCCATTCATGAACCCGCACCCCGAGTCAGGATTCCGTCCTGAGGATCCTCCAGTGGTCTCTGCACAATCTGAGAGAGGGAGCCTACTGCTGCAGAGCTGCCCAGAGAGGGCTCCAGGCCAGGGCACAGTCACCGGGCAGGGAAAAAACAGGACGCCCGGCAGCCGCCATCTTGCGGCTGAAGGGGACTGAAGCCCAGCTGGGCAAGGAGAACTAGAGGCACAGATTGTGGAGCTGACAGCGGCGAGGCCTGAGCCCCGCCACAGTCACTTCCCACTGGTTCCAATCAGTCCCAACCCCTCTGTCGGAATGTCGAACCCAGCACTCTCACCATTTCTAGGCTTTCACGGGGTCCTGGCGTCTTAGCTGTGGATCTCCAATACCTACAGGTCACAAGGTCACAGAGGCTCGGCCTCTAAAAGGAGAGGGCAGAGGCCAGTGAAGAAGAGACATGGAGCTCCGAACGCAGCAAGAGACAAAGACCCCGCTATATCCCGGAAGCCGCCCTGTCCGCTCCCGCTGTGTGCCTCATTGGACAGTTCCCAGGCCAGCGTCCGTGATTGGATAACATTTAAGACCCCGCCTTCTCTGGCCCTGAGTGACAGAAGATGTGATCAGACGCTGAGCTGAATGAAGAGAGTGACAACCTAAGCTGCAGCCTTTTCAGGCTGGGCTTCCTCCTTGAGGTGAGCCAGGCCCACCCCAGAGCATGGAAAAATTCGTTCTCTTTTTTTATTCTCTTTTTCAATGTATTCAAAATGTGACCAAAACTATTTTATGTATATTAATACGTAAAATTTTTGTTCAAAAGAAAATCAGCATTCACTTTGGTAATAGTGCATTATCAATACTAGAGCTAATTTGATAAAACGTTGTAAGTAAATTCATCAGCGGGGCGCGGTGCCTCCCACCTTTAATCCCAGCAATTTGGGAGGCCGAGGCGGGGGGATTACGAGGTCAGGAATTCGAGACCAGTCTGCTAACATGGTGAAACCCCGGCTCTACTAAAAATTAAAAAATTAGCCGGGCGTGGCTGCAGGTGCCTGTAATCCCAGCTACTAGAGAGGCTGAAGCAGAGAACTGCTTGAACTCAGGAGGGAGAGGTTGCAGTCTCAAAAAAAAAAAAAAAAAAAAAAAAAAATGCAAAAAGCAGCTGGGCAGCCAGGTGCAGTGGCTAATCCCTGTAATCCTAGCACTTTAGGAGGCTAAGGCAGGAAGATCATCTGAGGTCAGGAGTTCGAGACCAGCCTGACCAACATGGAGAAACCCCCATCTCTACTAAAAATACAAACTTAGCTGAGCATGGTGGCCCTTGCCTGTAATCCCAGCTACTTGGGAGACTGAGGTAGAATTGCTTGAACCTGGAAGGCGGAGGTTGCAGTGAGCCTAGATCGCGCCATTGCACTCCAGCCTGGGTAACAAGAGCGAAACTCCGCCTCAAAAAAAAAAAAAAAAAATTAAGAAAGAAAGAAAACAAAATTAGCTGGGCATAATGGAGCGCCAGTAATCCCAGCTACTCCGGAGGCTGAGGCAGGAGAATTACTTGAACCCAGAAGGAAGAGGTTGCAGTGAGTTGAGATTCTGCCACTGCACCCCAGCCAAAGTGACACGGGGAGACTCTGTTTCAAAAATATTTATAATTCAAGTTAAAAAAAGAAGTCCACCAAATTTGTCTTTATCACTGCTCTAGATTTTTAGGATATTTTACGACCTCTTAAATTTTTTGACTTTTTTTTTTTTTTTTTTTTTTTTGAGATTGGAGTCTTGCTCTGTTGCCCAAGCTGAAGTGGAGTGGCCTGAACTCGGCTCACTGCAATCTCTGTCTCCTGGGTTCAAGAGATTTTCCTGCCTCAGCCTTCGGAATAGCTGGGATTACAGGCGTGCACCACCACGCCCGAATAATTTTTTTTGTATTTTTAGTAGACATGGGGTTTAATGTTGGCCAGGCTGGTCTCAAACCCCTGACTTCAGGTGATCGGGATCCATCCGCCTCAGCCTTCCAAAGTACTGGGGTTACAGGCATGAGCCACAGCACCCGGTCATTTTTTAACTTTCTGTATTTTATTTTAATCTACATTTTTATATTTTTTCAATTTAAAGCAAACTTTAAGTAATTTCAAAGTGGAAGTAATGTTTCTTTCTTCATCAAAAGCATATTTTGCTTTTGTTTATAAACTCTCTCATTTTTTGTTGTTGTTGTTTGTTTTCTGAGACAGTCTTGTTCTGTCGCCCAGGCTGAAGTAAAGTGGCGTGATCTCGGCACACTGCAACCTCCAGCTCCAGGTTCAACCGATTCCTCAGCCTCAGCAATAGCTGGGATAAAAGATGTGCGCCATTATACCTGGTTTATTTGTGTATAAAAGAGCGAAATTCCATCTCAAAAAAAAAAAAAAAGAAAGAAAACAAAATTAGCTGGGCATAATGGAGCGCCAGTAATCCCAGCTACTCCGGAGGCTGAGGCAGGAGAATTGCTTGAACCCAGAAGGAAGAGGTTGCAGTGAGTTGAGGTTTAAGTAGAGACTGGAATTTGCCGTGTTGCTCAGGCTTGTCTTGAACTTTTAAACTCAAAATAATATGCCTGCCTCAGCCTCCCAAAGTGTTGGGATTGCAGACATGAGCCACGCCTGGCCTTTGTTTATATACCGCCTAAAAGAACTGGTTAATTACATTAACACTTAACAAACTAATTCTTAGTGAAATTCCTAGGAATTCATTTTGAACTGTTTTGTATCAATATTTATAGATAAAAAACATTTTATGTTTTTTAATAAAGAGGTTTTTTTCAATTTTTTAACTGACAGATCTAAATATAGTTAGCATTTCTATATTATCACAATAATAATTTTTAAAAAAGATTCTGGGCCAGGCATGGTGGCTCACCCCTGTAATCCAAGCACTTTGGGAGGCCAAGACTGGTAAGTCATAAGGTCAGGAGTTCAAGACCAGCCTGGCCAATATGGTAATATCCCATTTCTGCTAAAAAATACAAAAATTAGCTGGACATGGCTGTGGGCATTTGTAGTCCCTGCTACTCAGGAGGCTGTGGCAGGAGAATTGCTTGAACCCGAGAGGCAGAGGTTGTAGTGAGCCGAGATCATGCCACTTCACTCCAGCCTGGGCAACACAGTGAGACTCCACCTCAAAAAAAAAAAAAAAAAAGATTCTGGTCAGGCCTTGTGGCTCAGGCTTATAATCCCAGCACTTTGAGAGGTCAAGAAATGAAGACTATAAGCCCAGGAATTTGAGATCAGCCTGGGCAACATGGCAAAAACTAGTGTCTAAAAAAATACAATAATTAACTGTGAGCATGGTGGCCTGTACCTTTAATACCAGCTATTTAGGAAGTTGAGGGAGGAGGGTTTCCTGAGCTCAGGAGGTGGACGCTGCAGTAAGCCCTGATCAAGCCACTGCACTCTATGCTGGGTGACAGAATGAGACCCTTTCTAAAACAAAACCAACCAAACAAAAACAGCCAAAGCACAGAAAGTTAAACTTATGAAGGTTTGGGTTTTTTGTTGTTGTTGTTGTTGTTTATTTCTAAGGTTTTTAAGGTACAGGTGATGTTTGGTTACATGGATAAGTTCTTTTGTAGTGATTTCTAAGATTTTGGTGCACCCATCTCCCAAGCAGTGTGCAATGCATCCAATATGTAGTCTTTTATCTCTTACCCCCTCCTACCCTTCCCGCTGAGTACCCAGTTCATTATATCATTTTTACACCTTTACTTTCTCATAGCTTAGTTCCCACTTATAAGTGAGAGCATACAATTTTTTTTTTTTTTATTCCTGAGTTACTTCACTTAGAATAATGGTCTCCAACTCCATCAAGGTTGCTGCAAATGCTATTATTTTATTCCTTGTTATGGCAGAGTAGCATTCATTGGTATATATATGCCACATTTTCTTTTTCCACTTATTAGATGATGGGCATTAGGCTGCTTCCATATTTTTGCAATTGCAAATTCTGCTGCTATAAACATGCGTGTGTGTCTTACTCATATAATGACATCTTTTTCTCTCTATAGATACCCAGTAGTGGCAATGCTGAATCAAATAGTAGTTCTAATTTAGTTTTTTAATGAATCTCCATGCTGTTTTCTATAGTGGTTGTACTATATTCTGCCAGTAGTGTAAAAAAGTCTTCCTGTTCACCACAGCCATGCCAATATGTATTATTTTTGGATGTTTTAATTATGGCCATTTTTACAGGAATAAGGTGGTATCACATTGTGGTCTTGAATTGCATTTTCCTGATCATTAATCATGAATAATGAGCATTTTAACCCATGTTTGTTAGCCATTTTTATATCTTTTTTTGAGAATTAAGTCTCATCTGTCTTTTTGTTGAATGTGCTTTTGAGGACTTGGCCATGTACTCTTTGCTAAAGTCAATGTCTAGAAGAGTTTGGGCAATATTATCTTCTGGAATTTCTATAGTTTCAGGTCTTAACAGTTTTTATCCATCTTGAGTAGATTTTTGTTATGGTTAGTCTTGCTTTGGCTATGCAGACTCTTTAATTTCATATAAATTTTAGATTTTTTTAGTTCTGTGAAGACTAATGATGTTACTTTGACGGGAATTGCATTGAATTTGTAGATTACTTTTGGTAGTATGATCATTTTTACAATACTAACTCTACCCATCTATAAGCATGGGATGTGTTTTCATTTTTGTGTGTCACCCATAATATCTTTCAGCAAATGTTTTATAGTTTTTCTTGTAGAGATCTTTCATTGCCTTTGTTAGGTATATTCCTAATTATTTTTTTGCAGCTGCTTTAAAATGGGGTGGAGTTCTCGATTTAAATATCAGTTTGGTCGCTGTTGGTATATACCAATGCCACTAATATGTGCAGACGGATTTTGTATCCTGAAACTTTACTGAATTTGTTTATCAGATCTAGGAGCTTTTTCATGAGTATTTAGGGTTTTCTAAGTATATAACATTGGTGAACAGTGGCAATTTGACTATCTCTGCCAACTGGGATGCTCTTTTTTTCTTTCTTTTCTCTAATTGCTCTGGCTAAGACTTCCAGTACTATGTTGAATAGAAGTGACAAGGGCGGGGATTGTTGTCTTGTTCTAATTCTCAGAGAAAATATATTATTTATTTATTTATTTTTTTTTTTGAGATGGAGTTTCGCTCTTGTTACCCAGGCTGGAGTGCAATGGCGCGATCTCGGCTCACCGCAACCTCCGTCTCCTGGGTTCAGGCAATTCTCCTGCCTCAGCCTCCCGAGTAGCTGGGATTACAGGCACGCGCCACCATGCCCAGCTAATTTTTTGTATTTTTAGTAGAGACGGGGTTTCACCATGTTGACCAGGATGGTCTTGATCTCTTGACCTCGTG